TTCCTGCCCAAATTATGTATACGCAAATCAATCTCAGATTATATATATATATATATATTCCCCTATATTCACATATATTTAGCTGAATATTGATGACTCACAGAGACAAAATTAAGAAAAAGAACTTGTATTTTGTGTGGTGGAGGGATTGATTTTAGGGGCTATTTGTTAAACACCCCCTATTGAAATTTTACTTCTTGATAAATCTCTAATTTGAAATTGATATTTAACATAAATCCATTGGACCTAAAAAATCTTATATGCCCCCATTAATTAGTATAATTATTTTAAATAAAAAATACAGTGAAGTAAATGAAGAATCATTTCCAAAATCGCATTGCCTAAAAATCCTAATAATATTTCTCTCCCCAAAATCCTCCCAATTTTTCTCCATCTCTCCACAAATCTCGCCCCAACTTTCTCAATATCTCGAAAATCCATTATATATTTTTTCTCTTGATTTCCAAATACTACATCAATGGCTTCACGTTTACTGTAAGAAAATTTAATATTATTTTTGGACATAAATTTCTTCTCTTTAGGGCAAACAACATACATATATTGGTTTAACACAGTGTTCTAAAAATCGGCCGAGGCGGCCGATTAATCGGTCGCCGAGGCGGAGGCGGTCCAAAACCTTTACGATTTTAGTGTAAAGGTTTGAAAAATCGTTTTTTTGCCAGTGAGGCGGTTTGAGGCGGTCTGAGGCGATCCGAGGCGGTCAAACCTTTAAGGCGGGTCAAACTTCGGTGGCAAAAATCGGCAAAAAATCGGTTTTTTTTTTTTTTTTTTTTTTTTTTTTTTTTTTTATAAATCAAAATAAAAGTTGGGATTTTAATTAAAAAAAATGAGTTTATGCTTTATTTTGTTTATGTTAATTATTATTGTTAAAGAACTAATGATGTATGCCAAGAATGTATGTAAATTCAAAAAAAATTGCCTTTTTATTTATATTTTATAAGGATATTTATGTATTATGATCTTATTATTATTAAACTTTTATTATGTTATTAGAATATATACATGATCGAGATATAACTATGTTTAAATATTTTTTATCTATGTTTTGGTATTTATAAATAATATGTACAAATATATTATATTAAATTTTAAAAACCGATGTATTTCCGATTTATCACCGATTAATCACCGCCGCACGGATTAATCGTGAGTCGGTGCCTGACCGACTCGGACCCGATTACCGATTTTTACAACCTTGGTTTAACATCACACAAGCTTTTTGGGTAAAAAAATCACGTGTATTACAATGGAAATGACAAAATTCACTTTGCACAATAGTGGGATTCAATAAAATGGGAAGGTCAAAATCCATGGATTTAATAAGGGAATGGCAGAAACCACTCTGCGCGCGAAAATCACTATGTGCTCGAAAACCACTCAGTATACAAAAACCACTCTGCGTGCAATTTTTTTATATATATTTGTTTAAGAATCAACACAACGTGTACAATGCACAAGACACATAAATCTTACATATATCAACAAAACGTATACATACACATACAAATTATTGTCCAACGTAAATCAATACAAAACCTCACATATAACTCATCTTAAATTCTCATGTGAGCCGAAAACCACTATGTGAATCTGTACCGCCGCCCCTTATCCAATGACACAAACATAATATTATTTATGTGAGTTACAATTTCTATTCCACATAAACGGAAATGTGCAATCAATAAGCGTTAATAGTAGAATTAATTGAGAAAGTGCTCATTAAAATATTTATGTACAAGATATTATGTATCTTCTCTAATAATAGATATTAAAAACACGTGTATTAATTAGTTAGTGGCATAATATTGATAATTAAGGATTTATAATTAATAAAAATTCTTTTGGATTTACCGTAAAAATTGGGCCAAATGTTATAGCCCTTGTGTAATAGGGGGGTTTTATCAAATTATCCCTATCCAATATTACACCCAAATATTATTTTTATAATTCCAAAACTACCCTCATTTTCATTATTCCTGTCATTTTTTTCTCCTTCGATCTCACCATTCCCATTTATTGGGAACAATTTTTGGAAAGCCCTAAGAAAATTCAAAGCGAATTAGGCACACTGCAATTTCCTCATTCGCAGCAAATAGCATCAAGAATTATCTTTCAATTGAGCGCATCTTATAATTTTTTTTTTTTCCTCTTCACCATAGATTTGACTATGGGATCTTTGGTAGAGGCGACTTCCAGTGCGGTCGGTTCATTGGTCAGCATCACCATTTTGTATCCGTTAGATACCTTCAAGATCAAGTATCAAGTTAAAATTAAGGGGCTATATGACAAACACCCCTCATTGGATTTTGACTTCTTGATAAATCCAAATTTTAATTCGATTTTTGACATAAATCTAAATGACGCAAACTACCCAAAATGCCCTAACAAATCCTATTAAGGCCTTGTTTGATTGCCTCTTAATGACCTCTTAATGCAATTTAAACTCTTATTCGGTCAGATAGAAGCATTCAGTTTGTTTGGTACCTAACTCTGAATGGAAGCAATTATTGCTGACTGATTCAGCCCAAAAATCAAGTCTTATTCGTTCAGTGGATGGCTGAATTGAAATGAATATAATTTAGACAAAATTATCCCTAAAATTTGTTGAAAGTGGTGGACTTTTTTACGACAGCACAAAGCGGTGGCCTTGTTAATAGTTTGCCAGATATTTCAAAAATTGTTTATATAATTTGTTTTTGATTCATTATATTATTTTATAATAAAAATATGATTAGCTACAGTTTGGTTCTTCCACTACTAAAATATTGGAATTTATTTATTTTTCATTTTCACTTTGTTACAGATATTAGTTATTTACAATGACGGATTAGAATTTATGTTGAAAGTTTTATTTTTTATATGTAATAAATGTATAATTTAGATAAATTTCGTGAAACGAAATATAATATAATAATTACAGTGGACATATATAGTTAATAATTTTGTTAATAAATAAATATATGTTTAACAATTATGAGGGTTAATATAGTAAAATTATATTATTCAGATGCAATAGCTTTTTCAGTTATCAAACAAATTTAAACGTTCAGCATTCAGTGATTAGACATTCATCTTAATCATTCAGTTATGTATTCAGCATTCAGTGTTCAGTGCTTAATATTATCAAACAAAGCCTAAATGCGGATTACCTCCATTTAGGGTCTTTTTGGATTTCTTTATTTTTTATATTTATTTTAATTTTGAATGATTTTTATTTTCTATTTTTATTTTAAATTAGTTTTTTCTTATTTATATTTTTCATTTTTTCATTTTAATTTTTTAAATGGTTTTATTTTATTTTAAGTTTTTTTTTCATTTTTTTTTAATTTCATTTTTTTCAAATCGTCTTTTCGATTTTTTTTCGAATTTTTTTGGAAAAAAACGTTTTATTTATTTATTTTTGTTTTTTATTTTGATTAAAAAACTAAATTTCTTTTGTTTTTTTTCAATGCTTTATTAAATAATATTTTTTAAAATTTGTTTTTACCAGGTTATCGAATTGAAATTCACTTCATATTTATCGAAATCCAATATAAATTTATCGAAATCAACTATAAAATTAACATAATTCATATAAAATTAACATAATCCCACTATGAAATTAAATGTAATTAACTACAAAATTCCGCAATCAACATCATCTAATGTGGATTTTATCGAAGACAAAATCCTCTCAAATTATCGAAATCCACTAAAAATTTACCGAGATCAACTAGAAATTAACGAAATCCACTAATATTAACAAAATCCACTACTATTAAGCTCATCAAAAACCACTATAAAATATAGCACTAAAATATTAACGTAATCCACTACGAAATTAACCTAATCCACTACAAAAAAAAATCGTCTTTTCAAAGAAAAAATCCACTAAAAACTTACCGAAAATCAATTAGAAAGTAACGAAATCCACTACTATTAATCTCATCAAAAACCACTATAAAATATAGAAACCACTAAAATATTAACGTAATCTACTATGAAAGTAACCTAATCCTCAAAAAGAATTCCCCTTTTTAAAGGCAATCCACTCTAATTATAATGAAAACCACTAAAAACCTACCGAAATCAACTAGAAATTAACGAAAATCTACTAATATTAAGAAACTCATTCAATTTGTTTTATACTGTTGTCCTAAAATTCTAATAGAATGCCTAGCCGCTAAATAATTTTTTTTTAAAAAAATTAACGCTTTTTTTTTTTTTTTTTTTTTTTTTATAATCCAAAATTGAATACTCACAATGAGATGATGCACACACATAATAACACACATAAAACGTGAATTTTATGCAATATATTCTTGAATAAATTTCATACATATTCTAGGAAATTCACATCTTATGACCCAATCATCACATACAAGAAACGATCTGCCAATTCAAACATAATTCATAAATACGGATCAATCATTCAAGAACAATTGTTAACAAAGAGTGAAATTACGATGATGGCCGCCGATCCAGCCTCCATTTCTTTCGCCGACGACTTTCTCTGAAGATGGCGAATCTTTTGTCGAAGAAGACGTGCCTGCGTCACCTGTATGAACGGAACAAAATTGCCGAGAAACACCCTAAAAATGAAAAAATCCAATAATTACCGAGAAACACCCTAAGATTAGAAAATCCAATAATTCGATCATCGTTTTACCCAAATCATTTAAAAGAACAGAAAACAACACACAGTTTCACCAACACATACAGAGGGTTGATACTTTGATCAAAGGGCCCTCTCAGATAATAAAACAAAAAAAGAAAACCTAAATTCGAAAAAAATAGTGAATTCATGGGAATTTTCTTGTTGCTCGCCAATTAATTTGGTTTCCTATGGTTCACAAAGTTTCTGTATTTGATGCGCCGAACGAATGCCTTGGTGGGAGATTTTGATGATATTTTGGGAGGACTGTTCGCTTTCTTATTCGCAGAGAGACCTTGTGCGGCGGCGCATCGGCGGGGGGCGGGGGGAAGCGGAAGCAGAGGTGGTTGTTGGAGCTGCACTGAGTATTGTGGGTAGGAGTGAGACACCAGAAAAGGGCGGCGCGGCGACGACGGGGGAGGAAAAAAAAGAAGAACAGATATTACATATATTTATTTTCAACCTTAAGATACCTTATAATAAGCTAAGGGTATAATGGTGATATTTAATTAATTTTTATTAATAAAAAATGTTTTCGATTTATCTTAAAAATATAAAATAAATTTAGACTCATTGTAATTACACTTGTGTAGTGTGGGGGTTTTGTCAAATTTTCCAGATTTTATATTGTATGAATCATATCGATAGTGATAACAGAAATTCCAGTCAACGCGAGCAAATAATTGTGGGGTTGACTCACACAATCATGAGACAAAATCAAAAATCTTGAACACAAATGGAATTCTTTTCGATTTGGTCCAATGTTTGAATTAAATATAATATATTGAGAAAATGGAAGTGAATTCGTAAAATCATATGGCAGAATCATCGCCGTTTCATTCCTCTTGAAATGAAATCTCACAAAGGAAACTATTAATTTACAAAAAAAAAAAAAAAAAAAAACAAAAGAAAAAGAAAAAAGAGAGTCAATTTTTTATACATGGAAAGAGGGCTATAATAATTCGGTTGCCCTATCACTCACTCTCTCTATAGTTTTGTATAAATAAATCATATCATACTGTATCTAGTCCACATTTCAGAAACCGCAATAACAAAGAGGAGAAGAAAACAAAAACAAAATGGGAATTAAATATGGCGGCTTTGGAATTGTTTCACAACTTGTGATCTTGCTCTTGTCGATTGCGGTAGCTGTTTATGGCGATCTCCCACCAAAAATCTTCGACGTCACCAAGTACGGTGCAGTTGCTAACGGCAAAACCGATGCCAGTCAGGTATAATAAATAATCAGATATAACATCTATCGTTTATATATCCACATACGCGCATGTGCGTGTGTGTGTGTGTGAATAAAACATATATATACATGGATTATTTATATTATTGGATCTGATGTGAACTTTATCGGGTGTAGCATGTAAGAATTATACTGACGTAGAATATAATATTGATTAATAGGCGTTTTTAAGGGCATGGAGGGATGCATGTAGATATTATGGGAGGAGTAGGGTATGGATCCCAAAAGGAACATATTTTGTAGGGTCAGTTACATTTGAAGGTCCATGCAATGGTCCAATAGCCTTTCTCATTAAGGGTACCTTAAAAGCTCCGACGAATCCGCAACATTTCTTAACTGACACGTGGATCGGTTTCCGATATGTCGACTCTTTGACTGTGAAAGGGGGTGGTTATTTGGATGGACAAGGTGCTTCTGCCTGGAAATTTAATAATTGCCATACCAATCCTCAATGCAGAACTCTTCCTGCTGTAAGTTCTTATATATATATCCCATTATTTATTTCTCGTTTCATTTTCTTCGTTATTTTTCACAAGGATTTTCTTTTTGTTTAATTTCTTGCCATAAAATGTACCTTACCCAAAGGTGTTTTTATTTGGAGATGAGATTTAGAGTGATTTCCTGCAAAATAAAATAAACAAATACATTTGCTCTCGAGGATGTGTTAGATGACTTTTAAAAATTGTTGGTGATTATTGGATATGACAGTATTTTCTGGGAAAATGATTAAATTTTACTTATATTATTGTATTAAAAAATAGTTTTTTTTTTTAATATTTTGTATTTGTGTAATTAAAATAATATTATTTTTATTTTATTAAAACAATGTATTAACATTTTCTTAGGAAAAAAATTTTCTGTTTATGGTTTGCTGAAAAAGAGCCAAAAATTTACGTTTATTTTCATTAGAATCGAAATATTTAAAAAAAAAAAACCCAACTATTTTTAATTGATTTATTTTGCAGCGACTATGGTGGGATTTTATTTAGTTTAAAGATATTCATAACATCTTAAAGATTTTGTTATGAAATATGGCAACCAAAATCCCGAATATATGATTACCATTATATATTCAGATTCCATTTATTTATTTATTTATTTATTTATTTATTTTTATTTTTATCTTTCCGGATCTTAAAAAAAATTATACAAATTCAGTCGCACACAGTCTTTGCAATATTTGTTGACCAGTCAAACATAAAAAATACTCCCTCACTTTCAAATTAAGTATAGGGAAGTTTTTTTTTTCATATTATTTGTCACTTTAAATTTTCAATGATGCATTAATTATTATTTTATCATTTATATCCTTATTAATTTTAATTAGTAAATAGGAAATTAATTAAACTAAGATTAATGATAAGAATACTTTAGTTGCATTATATGTTTTTTTCTAAAATCAACACATATGTATTAGTTTGTTTAATACGTGTGCAGCAACAACCCAAAAGGTCAATTATTTTTGAACCCAGTGAGTAATATTTTGAATTATTAATTTGCAGACATTGAGGTTTGATTTCTTAACAAACTCAAAACTGAGCCACATCCGATCAATCAACAGCAAGAACACACACATAAACATATTCGCGTGCAACTTCATGGAAATAAGTAACATGAGGATCACCGCTCCGTCGAACAGCCCAAACACGGACGGAATCCGAATAGGTTCATCCAACCAAATCAGCATCTCAGACTCAGTCATCCAGACCGGAGACGACTGCATAGCAATGGTCTCCGGAAGCCAGAACATCAACATAACCGGGGTCGCATGTGGTCCCGGGCACGGCATCAGCGTCGGCAGCCTCGGCAGAAACCACGAGCACGAGTACGTAATGAACATCAACATCAGAAACTGCACCTTCTTTGCCTCCGACAACGGTGTTAGGATCAAAACGTGGGCCCCTTCTCTCACCAGTTTGGCTTCCAACATCACCTTTCAAGACATCCAAATGATTAATGTCCGAAACCCTATTATTATCGACCAACAGTACTGTCCTTACTCAACTTGCCTAGAGGTACGTTTACTGCACGCGCCACCCCTATATTTTACTAATATCTAATTATTGTTTTGCCCAAAAAATTGTCACTAAATTGTTACATTATGTGATAGCATTTGTACCTTGACACTAATAACTCCTTGATGTTGTCGCTGGATTTTCTTTTTCTTTTTTTTTTTTTACTATATAGAATTAGTGACACCTTTATACCGATAATTTCTTGACTAAAGATGTAAAAATAGGTGTTATGTTATATCGAATTGCTAAAAATCTACCTTATGTTATTTTATTGACAAAAATCCATCTATGATTTAATTTTTTTTAGCAATTAGTAGCCCTGTTTTGGAGGTTATGTGCTAAAAATAAATTAAATTACAGGGAGGTTTATGCCAATAAAATAATATAGGCTAGTCTTTTAGGAATTGGATACAACACAGGGGTACTAATGGCAATAAACCCCATTTTGGTAGTGTAAATAGATTTAAATATTCAGTTTTTGTAAGAGTTGAAGTCTGAAAATTATATGTGTTGATTTAACAGGCAGAGTCAGCAGTGCAAATAGAAAATGTGTTATTCAAAAACATATGGGGAACATCAAGTACAAAAGTAGCACTGAATATGCAATGCAGTGGAGCATTGCCATGCAAGAATGTGAATCTCATTAATATCAACTTAGCCTACAGAGGCCGACGAGGACACGCCCTCGCTTTGTGCTCCCATGTCTTGGGTTCTACTTCTGGCCAACAGAATCCTCCCGGCTGTTTATAGATCGATCTCCTGCCAATCTTCTTCTTTTTCTTTTTTTCGTTTATCCCTAAATAACTTGCAGTCAGTTTGTTTAGCTAAACTTCAGGTTACAATGTGTTTTAATATGCTGCCCTTTATGCATCGTGATATGGATTAGTTAGATTGGGTACGTAGGATATACAGTTGGTTGCCCCAACGGTTTTAGATGTCGAATAAGTTTCTGAATTTGTGATTTGTGATATAACTTTGTTTTATATCTCTATGCATTTCCATTTCAGAAAGAAAAATAAAAAGACTTGGATCGAAAATTTGTAACAAATATATATGGAATAATATACATAATAGAAACATGAATCCATATGCTTCCCTTTCTTGTTCTTTACTTACTTTTTTTTTTTTTTTTAATCGATAAATTATCATTTAAAGATTCTAACAAACACTAGCTAATAGTAGTACCCCAAGTCACCGCCCGATAAAAACTCGTGTACTTCCCCATCAACTTCGATGAAACTACACCCCGGTTGTTTCTCCATCTTCTTCTTCTTCATCTTCGTCCTCTCGTTGACCGCTTTCTTGAAATCACCCGAAGCTGCATAAACGTTCGACATTAGTACATGAGCGCTCGTTTCATCGGGACCCGCCAAAAGCAAATTTCTTGCCGCCAGCTCAGCAACTCCAACGTCTCTACACCTTCTACAAGCCGATAGAAGCGATCCCCATATAATAGCATCTGGTTTCATCGGCATACTTTTTATAACCTCTGCTGCTTGTTCAATAAGCCCCGCCCTGCCCAACACATCAACCAAACAACCATAGTGCTTAATCGTTGGTTCAATCCCATATGTTTCTTTCATCACTTTAAAATACTCTCTTGCTTTATCGACTCGTACAGAATGATTTGAGGCTGTAAGAACACCGATGAAGCTCACGGAATCGGGGTTCAAATTCGACGATTGTTCGAGTTCGGTGAAGAGTTGAAACGCTTCTTCTTCGAACCCGTTTGTCGCTAGGCCCAAAATCATCGAGTTCCATCCAGATAGTGCCTTTTGTGGGGTGGATTCAAAAACTTCACGGGCTGTTTTGATGTCGCCGCACTTGCAGTACATGTCTATGATTGCCGTCACTACAATCGTATTACGATCAATATTATTGATGTCGCTCTTCTTGATGTAGCGATGAATCCATTTCCCCTGTTCGAGAGCTCCTAATTTGGCGCAAGCGTTCAGCATACTCACAAGTGTGAACTCGCTCGGTCTGATCTGTCTTTGCTGCATTTCTGCGAACAGGCTGAGTGCGTCCACCCACTTCCCGTTTCTAACATATCCACTGATCATTGTATTCCAAGAAATGTCATTTCTACATGGGATTTTACAGAACAGCCTCCAAGATTCATCCACCTCCCCACACTTTGCAAGGCCCATCACCATGGAGTTCCAAGCAACAACATCGGTGTCTTCGTCTTCATCAAACAGTTTGCGGGCACTGCCGAAAAGCCCACAATCTGCGTACATGTGAATAATCGAATTTCGTATGAATGGGTCGTGTTCAAATCCCAGTTTGATGATTCTTCCGTGAAGCTGAGCTCCGTCTCCGGCGAGTCCAAGCTGGGTGTAAGCTTTGAAAACTGATGGGTAAGTGAGGTTTTCGGGCTCAAGTGTCGAATTCGTGAGCATGTCGACAAAGAGTGAAATTGCAACATGAGGGTGTGAGCTCTGACAGAAACCTCTGATAATAGTGTTCCAAGTAAAAAGATTTGGTTTTTCGATATGAGAGAAGACGGAGAATGCATAATCAAGGTCTCGGGCCGGGCCGGGAGCGGCGCAGAAGGCCAAGATTCGGCTAACGGCTATGGTGTCTTTGGCTAAGCCGGTTTTGATGAGTTGGGCGTGGATTTTGGTGAGGTCTTTGATAGTGTGGCAGTTGGTTTCCAGGAGTGAGAGGAATGGTTGGTCTGAGATAAATTTTGAGATAGAGGTTGATGCTGGATTGGATGAGCAGAAACATGGAGGTTTTATGCTGTTTACTCGTAATTTTGTTATTAGCAAAGAAGGTGTATTAATAAGTAAATGTTCATAGGTAGCGGGGTCAGTCCCATGGTCCAGGTGGCCTAAGGCCAAGTCAACAAATGAAGCCCCTTGTTTTTTTTTTCTTCTTCTTCCTTATGTGTGAACTATATAATTTGTAATTTATTAGTCATGTAAACTATATATGCATGTTTCAAAAAAAAAAAAAAAAAACTATATATGCATGATAATATTCATAATATAAATGTAGTTTTCAAGCAAATGTTTCATCTTCTCCTTCTCTCTCCCTAAAGGTCGATCATAAACTTTGGATGTATCTTTGCGAAGTACAATCGGATCGAAATGTGGGATCTTATGTATATATATATATATATATATATATATATATATATATATATATATATATACTGTACTGATGATGCTAATGTTAGATCACCTTAGATAGTTGAATTAGGATGAGCTGGAAGAGCAGAGTGGATCACTGGCTCACGAGCTTGATGACCTTGAGATACCTGCGATCATAGAACACGTGAACTAGGCCGGGGGTTGATCCGGCGGAAACCCCTCCGACGCTCAAGTCAGACGTGCTGATAGTGTAAATAGTCCAGAGAATACAGTTGATAGTATGGCTCAGTTAATAGGACGTACCTTAATAAAATGAGTAAAAACCTTTATTTATAGCTTAGCTGAGATTGTCGGGCCCAAACCTTACTTGAAGGTGATTGGGCCTCGGTGATAGTGGTCTTCGATATTGGGCTCGTGGCCCAGTAGGTAAATAATTTGTAGGCCCATTGGGTTGGCCCAATTAGGCATATCATTAAGCCCCCCACTCTCGAGTCGATGTGGGGGCCATGTTGAAATGAGTGTCAGATCGTGTCGAGAGTAAAAATTGTAGAAGTCGATCGTTGGCGTATGGCCCAATGGTGTGCGAAAACGCGTTGGAGCGTGTGTCGGAGGGGAGTGAAGGTGCGTTGGTGTTTAGCGCGACCAATTTGTCGCGATATAAGTTATTTGAGTTGTCGGTGTTGTCCCGCAACGATGTAGTAGCTCGGATCAAGTTATCTCCTCGTGGGAGTTGTCTCGTCGTGGGGTAAATGAGTTTATCGAGTTATCTCCTCGTGGGAGTTGTCTCGCGATAATGTAGTAGCACGGAGCTAGTATTCTCCTCGTGGGAGTTATTATTTATCGACATTGTCAATGTTTTGACGCGTTGCTTGTATGTGTTTACATATAGCCTTGTGCGTGATGTACTTGAGGAGGGGATCAGGCTCTCAAGATTTTTTATTTTTTTTATGGGGATCGTGCCCCTTGTTAGATCTCGTGGGTTGTAAGTAAGTTTGGACCGTGGCCACGTTTTAATGAAGGACCCATCGAAAACAAGTAGATAAATTTTAAGTAATCAAGCTGGCCACGCTATATAGATTCCCATAATAACTCTAAGTGTTTCTAGGGTTGTAATCGTGCTAACTTGAGCTTGCGATTATATAGTGAATTTCGGGCGAGTTATCTGCTCATGGAAGTTGTCTAGCAACGGGTCGTAGAACTGAGCGAGTCTGCTCCTCGTGGGAGTTGTCCCGCTGTGGGTAATAGTACCGATGGAGTTGGCTCCTCGTGGGAGTTGCCTCGCAACGGGTTATAGGACGGAGCGAGTGGTTTCCTCGTGGGAATTATCTCGCTGTGGTTTCGTAGACCCGAGGGAGTTGGCTCCTCGTGGGAGTTGTCTCCAAACCCCCCACTCTCGATTCGATGTGGGAGTCAAATGGAAAAAGATACCGGATCGTGTCGAGAGTCGACTTGTGTTGTAGTGTTCCCTTAATTGTTGGTGTGACGTGGAGAAATAATAATTTTTATTTGAGAGCGCATACGATTTGGTAGATTGCGTTGAAATTCTCGCTTGGTGAAGTGAGGTGAAATAGGCACGCGATTTGGTGGAGCATGTTGAAATTCGCGAGCAATTTGATGAAACGCGTTAGAATATACACGCGATTTAGTGGAGAGTAGTAAAATTTTGCACGCGATTAGATGGGTGGAGGTGAGCCGCGCGCGAATTAATGGGGTACGGAAATTCACGCGCGCGAGTTGATGAGGTATAGGTGGGGCGCGCGTGAAGTGGTGTTAGCTGATGAATGATGCCATATAGATTGATGTGATGGGAGGCAGCTAGTAGCCACGTGCTGCTGCTTTCTTTAATTAATTTATTTATTTTATTTATTTTTTTTTTGACGCAGCGCGCACGCCATCCTATGGGCGCGTGGTAGTCACGCGCGCGTGCTGTGCACGCGCTCCTCTTCTTCTTTTTTTTTTCCTGCTGACTCGCGCATGCTATGCACGCGCTCGCATCCGGCGCGTGTACGCCACGCTCGCGTGCTGTGCAGACGCGCGTCTTCTGTTTTTTTTTTTTTTTTTTTTTTTGTCTTCTTCTTGTTTCTTTTTCTTTCTTCTCTTTCTTTTCATCTCCTTCTTTTTTCTTCTTCTTCTTTTTCTTCTTTCTTTTTTCTTTTTTCTTTTTTCTTCAACTTCTTTTTTTCTTGTTTCTTTTTTCTTCATCTTTTTCTTTTTCTTCTTTTTTTTTCTTTTTATTTTTTTATTTTTAGGTGGTTGATGTTCACCCCTTTAGGGATGTTCAATTTTTTGAGTAGGGAGATTATACTCGTCTCTTGAGATGTGATGTGCACCCACTTGGGGTTGAAAGGTAAGGGTGATGCCCACCTTGGGATGGGATAACCTCCTACTTTAGAATGAGGCGCTCGAGACCTATGGTCAGAGGTGGATGCGCACGGTTGTGCCATTGCTTCTGTGGCAACACAAGTTGAAACTTTCGCGGTCGTACGCTGATACGCGTAAAACCTACGTATGAATAACCGCAAGTGTACAATATCGCGTTTTGTAGAATAGTGAATTCCAGATATCGATCCACAGGGAATTAAGTTCCTAAATTTACCAAGTACCGTAATTATACTATCCTAAACTTTATCTAGACGATCGAAAGGGATGGGAAAAATGAAAACAAAAAGAAACAATAAATAATAACAACGGTCCGCCAGTAAAAGCGAGAAATTCCGACGTGTGATGGCTTTTTTAGCCCGAATTTGACAATTTTGCATTTCACAGAAGTTGTAGATCTTGGTGTTATCTTTCTAAGGCCACTTGAATCAGCTCAATCGGAGGTCGTATGCAAAAGTTATGCTTGAAATACGAAACAGTGCCACATCCCGCGATAATGCACTTTTGCACGTGTTTGGTTTTATTTTCGGCTTGGCTTCCAAAATCGTTTCGGATCGGCAAAAATAGCTTCTCTTTACCTAAAATATAAATAAAACAAAAACAACATAATATGCACAAATAAAGCCGAAAACTCGGACGAACGAAGACCAAAACTCGAAGATTCGATAAGTAAAAGTTGTGCAAACTGAACACTTATCACACCCTCAAACTTAGATCTTTACTCGTCCCGAGTAAATCAAAACGAAACAACAACAAAAACAACAAACTAAAACTAGGCCACTAACGTAGGGAAACACGATTGCATTTAGCGTATGCAACAAGCCTTTGAACCCCTGGGTACCCCCAAAGGACGAGTTGTGTCTCATGAGGGTTTTCAGACAACACACCCACAAAGTTGCCGGATTGGTCAAAGCATTGCAATTAATTCCAAAGATAAAACGAGCTAGATAACTTAAAATCTTAGAATGACATACGGCTTAAGGTATTCGACTTTCCTACCGACGCAATTAGTTGTTTCTACACCAAAATGAAAGATAGACTCAAGAATCCGTAGTTAAACAATAAACACAATTATCGAGGGTTTTGAGTAGAAATGTGGGTGAAAAGTAAGTTTTGATTCTGAAATTCAAAAACTCGAGTTGGGCATAAGTAGGTCTATTTATTCAATATAAGAAATGACAACAACAATATTTTTGGTGATTTTCATCACAATTTTTTCTTTTTTGAAACGGGCATAATCGTGACTCGTGCAAGGCTCGACACCACTGTGTTATCTCCCTGACCCATGTATCGAACTTTAGTCCAAGAAACCCCCAAGCTCGACAGCTCGAGAGACTTAGGCGACGAGGTGCACCCAACGGGTTAAGCTCGAGCCAAAAAGGCGGGGAAATCAGAGCGTGAATCACAACAATACCACAAATTATTATTTTTCTCTTTTTATTTTTTATTTTTTATTTTTTATTTTTTATTTTTTATTTTTTATTTTTTATTTTTTTTTTTCAACAATAAACATAAAATAAAAACGTAAATACCATTGATAGAACTTTTAGCCAACAACTGCAAATCGTGAACACATAATTCAATTCTAACTCGCCCCCAAACCTCAGACTATTATACTCCTCAGAAAAGTGCGCTCAAGCTTAATCGGAAAGGATTCGAAAGGCTATCCACACAAGTTGCAAAAACGCAGTCGGAAGATTCATCTATAATTAGCCGGTTATCCACAATTTCAATTTTAAAATCAACTAGCGAGTCTACTAATTCATTAATTGCTTTGCTTCAATAGAATCCGGAAATGCAACTTACACTCGATCTTAAATGAAATGCATGTGACAAACATAACACAATTACGGAAATCGAAATACATAAATGAAACTAAATTATATGATATGCATGCAAAAGACCAAATCAAAATAAGCTAAACTCACCCCCAAACTTAAATCATGCATTGCCCTCAATGCGAAAAATAAAAGATGAGAAAGAAATACGCCCTGAACAGTCGTACCGCAGATTGATCAGTGTTCTACGGTTGCGAAAGTGTTCTTTGGTTGCAAGGGGTGCCGTGAATTTTGGCACCGAGGGCGAATTGCCGGAGTTGTCTAGACTCCCGACTTCTTACTCTTCTTTCCTTGGAGACGAGATACCGGCAAAAATCAAGAAAAATGGGTGAAATTTAGATTTAAACTTAAAAATGGAAAAATAAAAGAAAACTAACAAAATAAATGACGAAAAATAAATAATGGGTTGCCTCCCATTCAGCGCCTGTTTTACAGTCGACGGCTCGACACAATTTGGACGGATTATGTCCAATCCAAAGCCTTGTAGATTGCGCATCCATCCGTCAGTCTTGATACATACTTTGCAATCATATCATGGAAAATATTGCAATCACGTAGTGCCCATCCCATCCCATGGAACTTCTCGTTTGTTTGGAAATCAGTCGGTAGGAGACTAGGATGGGTTGCTTGCCTATCGATCTCTCAAACTCGTATACAAGATATTCGAGCTTTGGAGTAAGCTCTACCTCAAATTTGAAACTCGTCTCCTTGCTCACACTCAAATCTGGAGTAGCAATGTGGATAGGATTTTGTTTGTCAGGTTCCTCTACCATCATCTTCATCCCACTCTCATCACACGCAAAAGTATCTACATAACTGGGATGAATAATTCCTGCTCAACCTCATCGTTAATACGAAAATCTGTAAATACCTCGTTGTCTTCATATGGGATGGTCAGATGAGGTTTCTGAATGTGACATCTTTGAAAATTTTCGAAAATATTTGCCAGAAAGTGGAGTTCGTCTTATAAATAGCACAAGTGCTCATTTGTCTGTGCAATTCCATTTTATGGCTTCAACCTTCGATGTCTTTCAATATACTCCAACTCTTGTTGAATGTAATCTGCTCTGGATTGAATCTCGTAAAGAGAGATATCGCAAATCGAGGCCATCAATATATACAAATCTGCTAAAACAAATGAAAAAAAATCAAAATGAAAAAATAAAATAAAAGAAAAATGTCTAAAGTAAAGCAAGGATAGTTGGTAACGATATTAGTAAATTCAAGATTAACTAATTCCCCGGCAACGGCGCCAAAAACTTGATACGCGTAAAACCTACGTATGAATAACCGCAAGTGTATAGTATCGCGTTTTGTAGAATAGTGAATTCCAGATATCGATCCACACGGAATTAAGTTCCTAAATTTACCAAGTACCGTAGTTATACTATCCTAATATTTATCTAGATGATCGAAAGGGATGGGAAAAATGAAAACAAAAAGAAACAATAAATAATAACAACGGTCCGCCAGTAAAAGCGAGGAATTCCGACGTGTGATGGCTTCTAGGGTAAAATCCACCAGTGTACTATTGATAAAGATCTACAGATTCGAATCTAATGTCAATTCTATGTTCGCTAACCCAGACACTAAAATACCCTAACCCCCGTCTCCAGTGTAGTTAGAGTCTACCCACAGGTCCGACGTCTCCGTTCAGAACCTGATATTAAGAGAGCATTTAGGTCAAGTCCTTAAGGGCTACCCGAGGTGCATCACGTCTCCGTTTCCACAACCCGAGCTATGTTTTCCTGAAATCAAACGAGAAATCCTCTCTCGAGTTCATTCCCATTTACGATCAATTCAACTGTTGGCCAAACAATCGAAAGCATTTAATACAGGAAAACATAAACATAATCAAAGAACGACAAATAGATCACAGATCTGGAAATCAAAATCAATATATACAAAGTTTCATTTCCCTAGAAGAAAATGCTTAGTTCATTACAAACATAGCATCAAAATGAAGAACACGAGAAATTATAAACTAAACGTAAAGAAAAGCTTATGAAAAACCCGAGTCGAAACCCTCGTCGAAGCTTCCCGCGAAGAACTGTCGAAAACCGTAAAAAGTCGAAGAAGAAGTCGAAGGATGAAAGGGCCTTTCTATTTATAGTGAAATGCAAAGCTTCCTCAAGAAGCTTTGCAAAATAAAATATCTTCCTCAAAAGGCGTGCCCAGATCGCGATCCAGGAATGTGGATCGCGATCTGGGTCCTGTAATATTTCAGCTCTGTAAGACCCCCCAGATCGCGATCTGGAATGCTGGATCGCGATCTGGATCTTGATCCATTTCAGCTCTGTCAGACCCCCCAGATCGCGATCCGGAATGCTGGATCGCGATCTGGGTCTTGATCCATTTCAGCTCTGTCAGACCCCCCAGATCGCTATCCAGGAAGGCTGGATCGCGATCTGGTCTTCTGCGCCAACTTAAAACACAGTTTTGACCCTTTTTTAGCCCAAATTTGACAATTTTGCATTTAACAAAAGTTGTAGATCTTGATGTTATCTTTCTAAGGCCACTTGAATCAGCTCAATCGGAGGTCGTATGCAAAATTTATGCTTGAAATACGAAACAGTGCCACATCCCGCGATAATGCACTTTTGCACGTGTTTGGTTTTATTTTCGGCTTCGCTTCCAAAATCGTTTCGGATCGGCAAAAATAGCTTCTCTTTACCTAAAATATAAATAAAACAAAAACAACATAATATGTACAAATAAAGCCGAAAACTCGGACGAACGAAGACCAAAACTCGAAGATTCGATAAGTAAAAGTTGTGCAAAATGAACACTTATCATATGCTGAAGGTCCTTATCGGTTATCTGAACCGTTAGAGGAGCAAGTAGAATTTGAACTTGTTGAAGGTTCGGCGATCATACGCTGAAGGTGCTCTTCGGTTATCTGAACCGTTCGGGGGGGAGGGGGGGGGGGGGGGGAGGTAGGCCCCTAGGGAGTCGACAACCCTTGGCGAACGAAATATTTTGGGGGTACTATAAAACCCCAGGGAGTCGATAACCCTTGGCGAGCGAAATACTTTGGGGGTACTATAAAACCCCAGGGAGTCGATAACCCTTGGCGAACGAAATATTTTGGGGGCACTATAAATCACCTAAAAAGGACGTCGTAGCTACTTGAAGAGTCGTTCTCGCTTTTCTGATTAAACGCGCTTTTGGAGTATTGCTGACTATACATGGAACAAATGCGTTCTTCGTGTTCTAGTTCACCTGAGTGCGCTCCAAGTTTCAGCTGAAGTTTTGCCTATTTAATGGCGGATAATTCTTGCATTTCTTTTCATAGCTTATCTAATTACTTTAGAGTAGGTAGAGTAGAATAGCTGGATATGAAGCTTTTGTCCACTGTGTATTGAGAAAACCTTTCTTTTACCATCAATACACTTCTACTTTATCTACATTGGTATTTTGAAACTGTATTTTATTAATATAAAATAAGCACATCCATAACATTTCGTATCCAGGGCGTCACCTTTCTTGCCATACCACACCATTTTGATGATGACAAGGAGCCATGTCCGTATAGATGGAGGTGAAAATGCAAGATCTGAAGCATAAATGTTTGTGGAGGAGCAGCTGGCCTTCAATGACAAGATTCAAGGTCTATCCGTTCTTCAAGCTGAAATCGCAAGAAACAGAGTAGAGAGCAATCAAAAAATGGATAAGATGAAGCGAATGATAGGAGATATGATAAGATCTATGAGAGGAGATAGAGGGAAGGATCCAATGCAACCATGCAACACATCTAACCACCCTAACAGAAATCCAGAGATAATATCACCAAGGATGAGCCCAGTATATGAGGAGACAAGTAATCCTAACACCTTCTTGAAAATTATGAATATGAGGGACATCAGGTTGGATTTCCCCTATATTTGATGGCAGTCTTCCTAGAACTTGGTTGGGGCGATGCCACAGATATTTTGAGTTAAATCCGATGAGTGAACAGGAGAAGGTAAGGTTGGCTTGTGTGTATTTGGAGGGTAAAGTTGAAGATTGGTACTCCGATTACATCGAGAAGATAGAGAGATTAGGATGGGAAGTATTTTCTAATATGATATTAGAAAGGTTTATGGAAGAAGAAGAAGAAGAATAAGGGGTAGGCCTACTGGCTGAGTTCAACAAACTGCACCAACTCACATCTGTGAAGGAATATAGGCTGATATTTGAACACCTCAAAGTCTTTGTGTCCTAGAAATACCCAACTCTTCCTGAAGGTTACATTGTAGAGTGCTTTGTAGAAGGATTGCAAGGAGAGGTGAAGAACATGGTCAAAATGATGAGGCTAGTGACCCTAGCTAATTCTATACAACAAGCAAAACTTCAAGAGTGGTGTGTAGACCAGATGAAAGTGGAGATAAGGAACTCTATAAGGGCAACCAACCAACTACAGAAACCTCCAAAACTTTCTAATCCAAAGCAACCATTGAGAATACAATACCCAGAGAGGAAGCCAAAAGAGACTAGTAGACTCACAAGGCCGAAAATGGAAGAATGAAGAAGGAGAGGATTGTGTTACAACTGTGAAGAGAGGTATGAGCCAGGACATAAGCGTAAGAAATTGTTCAACATTGAATGCACTCATTTTCCAGAAGAGGAATAATTGATGAGGAGGAAGAGGGTAACTTGGAAGTGGAGGAAATTATGCAGATTTTATTCAAGGGCATGACAGGGCAGATAACCCACACTACTCTAAAAGTGTTTGGCAGATACGAGGGTAAAATTATCACAATCCTAATTGATACTGGAGATTCTCATAGTTTTTTAGATCCTCACACAGCTGCCAAGCTAAGTTGTGATAGGGTTTGCACAAAGAAGATGAAGGTTACTGTGGCAGGGAAGCAACAACTGTTCTGTGACTCCAATTGCCCCAACTTTTAGCGGGATGTGGGGAACCACCACTTTAACATAATGAAAAAAAAAATCAAGAAAACCTAATTTCTAAAAGGAGCTGATTTTATCAAAACAAAACGCACATTTCCATACGTTTTTTATCGAATGAAAAATGATGATGGAATAAAGTGAATCGGTGGGGGTTTATATACGTGTATATGAACAATGCGAAAAGAAACAATCAATTTCATATAGTAATAATATAAAAAACATTAAATGCAATAAAAAGATGATAATTTTTTTATTAAGAAATAATATTGTATACCTTATTCTAGGAAGGTATATTAGGATATTACACTTTAAATCATATTCTTTTATATATACTAGCATTTTTCCCCCGTGCGATGCACGTGCGATTCACGGGATATTATTTAAATAGTGAAAAAAATAATCAATTTAATACATAATAAGAAAGTATAGTCCACTAATATAATAAAATTTAATAATGTAGTATTATTCATATTGAATTTCTAGCTTTATCTCTTAAGATTTGAGATATATCCGTATATATTTTTGTAGTTTTTCGTTTTGAGAAATACCCTTATAGTTTCTGGAAAAAAAATAATTTCAGGGAAAGCTGGTGCTGAAGGATTTTAACATCGAGAATGAAGCAGGTGGAGTTAACAAGGGAATCATAAAAAACTTCACTGCAGTTGTTGCTGATAATACTTTGGATATCCGCTTCTATTAGGCTGGGGAAGGGACAAATGGTATTCCTGTTAGAGGCGTATACGGTCCTCTCATTTCAGCCATGTCTGTCGATCCCATTAAGTTGCAAGTTAGAACACATAAGAGAGAGTTGTCTGATACATTCTCTCCTCTAATATAAACCAAAAAGGTGATTATCTTGACAGTATATCTAATTCCTCTC